AGTGATGCTTCCCATGAGCCTGTGCTTTTCTCTGAAGCATTATTGACCTACGTAAGGAAATCCTTCTCTGACAGTTGACTAAGCACATAAGGCTTGATTTGACTTAGCTTTTGTGTTTGCTGAGTGCTGCTTCTTTAATGATGTGTTTTGCTGCCGATGGACACCTTCGCCTGAGCCAACAAAATATTTCATAAGGATCATGTGGAGTTTTTCCACCTCTGTCTGTTGATCTATGAGACAGCTTTTGGAAAGGAATAATGGAGTCTGTCCAGAGATGCAAAAACCTGGTGAAAATGTTGCAGTGTGCTTACAATGTCAGTTCTGAGTGTAGCTTTGAGGCTACACCCCATATCTGTGAAATTGCTTCTGGATGTTCGGCATGGTAATTGGCATTAGTGTTTACTGTCACATATTGATTGCTACAACAGTAAGCGAATTCTTTAATTTCAGAACAGTAACTGTCTGCTTTTCTATGGAGTAGACTGTGGCTGCATGGGTGTTTTTTTATGGTGGCTGAAATATTTATACTTGGGTGGAAGAAGCTTATATCAATGACCTTCATCTCTATTTTAATGGAGTTATTTCTGCAGTGAATAGCTAATGATCTGCTCTGGGAGACATAAAAAGTACAGCAGGGATCCGTGCTGGCTTAGATGTTGCAGTAATAAAATGGTGGGGCTTTGCATGATGTGTATGTATGTATGTCATTGTTGTTCTCCTTTTTTGCATGCATTTTGTACATACCATTGATTCTGGTACATTCATCTATGCACTGGTTTCAAAAATGATATTCTTTGCTTTTCTCTGTGTTCTTCTGTGACGTTCTTTTCTCAGTCCCAGGCTACTGATTGAGGTTTCTTGCATACTTCTGTCTGCGCAGTTGCCACTGTTGTCTGGAAGTATGCAGATATCAGCATTGCACAGTTTACAGTGCAATCCTAAACAGAGCTGCCCCCTTCTGAGCCAATTGACAGTGATGGGCTTAAAAGGATTTAGCTCTGCTTAGGTTTGCACCTAGTCTCTTATGGGTGTTGCTTGGTGGCTACAAAAGAGAAACATGGTCTTTATTGCAACTCCTGAGTAGAATTAAATAGTTCTTTGTTTATTTATTTATTTATTTCACTTTTACCCCGCCCTCCCCGCCAGGCAGGCTCAGGGCGGCTTCCAAAAACTGGTAAGCAATATACATTTTACAGTAATAGAATAAAATACATCATTTAAAAACATAAACAAGTCAATATAAGTCATTCATTCGATGGCAATAAAAATAAAGTGCAGTTTAGGGATACATTCAGCGGTGCCACCGCGCTAGGTCATGTTGGATTGGAGTTCACATAGGGCACTGCTGGTAGGACGTCACTCCTAGCAGAACGCCTGCCTAAAAAGTTCTGTTTTCACGGCCCTGCGGAATTGTGACAAGTCCCGCAGGGCCCTGATCTCGGCAGGAAGCTCGCTCCAATAGGACGGAGCTACAAACGAAAAAGCCTTAGTCCTGGTTGCCATCAACCTGACTTCCTTTGGGCCAGGGAGGTCCAGGCAGTTTTGGGTCCTGATCGCAGTGCTCTCTGGGGAACATATGGGGAAAGGCGGTCCCTCAGGTAGGCCAGTCCCTGACTATAAAGGGCTTTAAACGTCAAAACCAGCACCTTGAAACGAATCCGAAATGCTATTGGGACCCCAGTGCAGAGTCTTAAGCACAGGCTGGATGTGCTCCCACCTGGGGAGACCCATCAACAGCCTGGCCGCTGCATTCTGAACCAGCTGCAGCTTCCGGAGTTGCACCAAGGGCAGCCCTATCTAGAGAGCATTGCAGTAGTCCAACCTCAAGGTGACCATAGCATGGATCACTGCGGCCAGATCATTGCGTTCGAGGAAGGAAACCAACTGCCTAATCAGCCAAAGATGGTAAAAGGCTGCCTTGGCAGCGGCTGGTACCTGGGCCTCCATTGTTAAGGAAGCATCCAGGAGCACTCCCAAACTCCTGACCCTCGGAGCTGGCACCAGCGGTGCCCCACCGAAGGCTGGGAGTGGGATCCCTACCCTCGTACCACTCCGATTCAGGCACAGGACCTCCGTCTTCGTCAGATTCAATTTCAATCGACTCAGTCTAAGCCATCCAGCCACATCCTGCAACGCCCGGTCCAGATCTTCCGGGGTAGAGTCAGACTGACCGCCCAACATCAGATAGAGCTGGGTGTCATCCGTATATTGGTGACAGCCCAGCCCATGCCTCCAGGCAATCTGCGCAAGGGGGCGCATATAGATGTTAACATCGGGGAGAGCACAGCCCCTTGGGGCACACCGCACACTAGTGGGTTGCCTTCGGACCTTGGAGAAAGGAGACAAGCCATTGGAAGGCAAGCCCCTGAATTCCCATGTCGGTGAGGCGGTGGGCAAGCAGCTGATGGTCAACCATGTCGAACGCCGCCGACAGGTCTAACAACAGCAGCACTGCCGTCCCGCCCTGATCCAGATGTCTCCGGAGGTCATCCGTGAGAGCGACCAGTACTGTCTCTGTCCCATGTTGTGTCTGTGCATAAGTTTTCTCTGTGCAGAATGCAGTGGCACATGTGCTGATGGCGATGCCTGTGCGGACTCGCATATAGCAGATGCTGCGCCAATTGCACTGGCTGCCAATAGAGTACCGGATCCAGTTCAAGGTTCTGGTGTTAACCTTTAAAGCCCTATGTGGCCGGGGATCTGCATATCTTCGGGACCATCTCTTCCCATATGTGCCTCGCAGAGCATTGCACTCAACTGACCAACATCTTCTAGTTGTCCCCAGCCTCAAGGATGTCCAGTTAGCCTCGACTAGGGCCAAGACCTTTTCTGCCCTGGCCCCAACCTGGTGGAACAGGTTGAGAACAGGGCCCTGCAGAATTACAATTCCGCAGGGCCTGTAAAATGGAGCTGTTCCACCGGTCTTTTGGATGAGGCGACAGACATTTATTACAATTCCACAGGGCCTGTGAAATAGAGCTGTTCCACTGGTCTTTTGGATGAGGCGACAGACATCAAAATCTACTCCCTTCACAATGCTGACAATGCTGGCTTTTTAATAGCCCAATCTTTATTGAGGTTTTCCCACTCTGATCACTGTTTGTTGTTGCTTTTAATTGATATGGATAACATTTTAACTGTTTAATTTATATATTGTCATTGTTATGACTCCTGTGTGAATGTAATTTGCTCTGAGCCTGCTTGGGGGGAGGGCGGGATAGAAATCAAATAAATAAATAAAGTTTATCAGTTGATAGTACTACTTTAAGGGGGGGTGTATATGGAAATGGAAGGACCCTTGTTACATATGCATACGAGCTGTAACCAGCATCAGTACAATGATAGTGACTAGTTAAGTCTGAAGATCTAGAAGATGCAGGTAAAACAAAAGACTTATTGGTTGGCTATTCCGACTGAATGTGCTGAGTGCAGTTACTCTGATGCTGAATTAACACCAACTCTCTCTGGTGTCTTATGTATTGCACCACCATCTAACATGCCCACATGAAACTTCATTGTGTGCATCTTTATGCAGTTAGCTAACCATTTTTTTAAATCCTTTCCCTGGTTCTCTCATTCTTCTAGTAGATAAAGGCTTCAGCAGTTTTTAGCACGTGGAAGCACTTTGACTGAAGCAGTCTTTGAATCAAACATTTATTTTTCCTAGAGTTCTTTTCAAAAGCTGACTACTTTGTACTTGCTAGGTATATTTTAATAACATTTTTTACATTAACCCCTCTTTCTCTAATGCACATTTATCAGCTTATGTTGTGTTGGAAACTTTTCAAGGCAGAGTTTGTAATTGTATGTGATTGCCATCCATTTCTTGTTATTTTGAGATACTGTTGATAGTAGTTCTTATGTGCGTGATCTTAAATATGGTTCCTGTTAAGTTATAGGCAGCCATTTTTTAAAAACTCTCAAAATTTGTTAGTGTTCACTTGCATAACACAAGTTCATCATAAAGTGAATCCAAATATTCCTGTGGTACACACTTTCAAGAAACCTACTTTACCTTGAATTGTCATCCTCTTGAAATAACACAGACTGGCTACATACATTTAGAGATCATTTGCTTATTCATGGAGGGCGGCAAACTGATAATTCCTAAATGAATAACATTTACAAATTTCTTATGTAATACTAAAAATATTTGACGTAAGAGACAGTGTGGAACTTCATTGTTATGGCCAGGTTTTCCTTGAACATGCACATACAGTATTGGTCCATCACAAATCCTTCTTCACTGAATCCGCAGAGTCTCGCATCTTCTGGTTGCTTATTGCTAGATCTGCAATAGGGTTGCCAGGTCCCCCCAGCAGGGGATGGGGGGTAGGGTTGCCAAGATCCAGAGTGGGGAACTCCTGGAGCTTTGGAATTGGGGATGGAGCCTAGGAGGGACAGGGACCTCAGTGGAGTACAATGCCATAGAGTCCCACCCTCTAAAGCATTCATTTTCTCCAGGGGAACTGATCTCTGTAGCCTGGAGATGAGCTGTAATTCTGGGGAATCCCCAAGTCCCACCTGGAGGCTGGCATCCCTAAGCCTGCAGTCATCTTTGTTGAGTAGAAGATCTGTTGAGCAGATCAAAGTCGGTGAATTGGGGCAGCAGAGAATTTATAAACCCATCAATTGAGCAACAGTTGTGGCGGACGGGGGGGTGGAGGAGACGAGGCAGAAGCCAGAACTGTGAGTGAGGAGAAGAGAAGGAAATGGAGGAAATAACACTTGCTGGTAACTTTCTCTGGCTTCTTGGTTACTTTGGAACACTGTGTGCTAGAAGGAACTTCCTTCTGTAATTGATTTTTCATTGGCTGAACTAAAGAAAAAAAATCTTTTTCTTTTTCTCTCTCTCTTTCTCTCTCCAGGTATCTTTCTGGTAGTATTTGTTTTGACTACCTTTCTCAAAAGAAGGGGAATAATATGAATCAGTGTTGGAAAACCTTTTATATGTATTTGCCTCCGTGTTTCATAATTAATGCATGTGTTGTTTTCTGTAGACTGAATCTGGCTATGGATCAGAATCAAGCTTACGGCGCCATGGCTCTATGGTGTCTCTTGTGTCTGGAGCAAGTGGATATTCTGCAACATCCACCTCTTCATTTAAGGTGAGTGGCAAATAATGAATATAATGAAATAATGGCTTGATTATATTACAGAAATACTTAAGGAAGTTACTGAAGATTTTTTGCTGATAGTGTATTGAAGTAAGTTTAGCACAAATTCAGGTTTAACTAAGTGGGCTGTATTAACTTGGAAAGTTGTTTTTAAGACAATAGCTAGACATAAGATCAGGAACTGTATGTATGGCTATCTCTTTCTTTCAGATGTCTGTTGTAGAAGTTCTTCCTACCACTTGCCATTTTTGGCTGTTAAGCTCACAGAGAGCTCGTGTCTTCCGCTGCTAGGAAAACAGCAGAGATCCACAATCCCCAAGTGTCTTGTGTTCTTAACAGCCTTTTGAGCTGGCATGGAAATATTTTAGTGTAACAATAAATAATAGAAGCATGTGCTCTGTGTTCTGCTGGTAAGTATTCATGCCTGCCAAAGCACAGATGTTTGTTTCATGTGTGTACCTTTTTGAAGTAGTATGCAAGCTTGTACGTGGATTAAATTTGTGCTTAATAAATGGGGGGGGTATTTTAGTGTAACAATAAATAATAGAAGCATGTGCTCTGTGTTCTGCTGGTAAGTATTCATGCCTGCCAAAGCACAGATGTTTGTTTCATGTGTGTACCTTTTTGAAGTAGTATGCAAGCTTGTACGTGGATTAAATTTGTGCTTAAAAAAGGGGGGGGGGGGGACAAAATAGACAGCTCAATAATCCAGGTGTTTTATTAAGAACTAGCCGTAAAGCCCGTTGAGGAGGAAGACAACGGGCCCTAGAAAGGTAAGATGGGTGGTCA